AGAATACTTATTTTATTCCATATTTTCGTTTGGCGTGATTTTTGGAATTTTGCCATTTTTGGTAAAATTTGGATTTCGGCTATAAAGTCCGGCTTGTGAACTTATTTTGATCATTGCGTGATATAATAAAATTCTCTAAATTTCAAAGACGTTTTCTCTGTATTTTTTTGGCGTTAATCTTGTGTTCTTCCCTATGAATTTGCTGGTAAAACTAGCCTGCAGAATAATCACTATTCTGCCCGACGTCAAAACAAAATGAACATCAAGTTATAAAAAAACAAGGAGCCATTTGAGCAACACATAAATAACCCCAAGTGTAATATCAGTACACATTGTGGTATCATATTATTGCCAAATAATGAACTGTTATATAAAGAAGCCTCATCGAAAGTTGCGGGGGCAGGAGAAAAAATGTGAAGCTATATATCCGTTTGTTTGCTACTCAAACAATATCTAAGACTCACTTGATTGGCTAGGAATGGCATCCAAGAAGGGAGTTAGATTGCAACAGAAAAGATTTGAGTGTATAGTGCATTTCATTAACTTAGAAAATGGAAAATGATGTCTTAAATCACAGATAGCGGGGCTAGGGAATCTGAAACCCAGTTTCACCCGGGTATCCCAGTTCCCAGTCCATGTAATTCAACAAAAAGCTAACAAAACTCCTAACCTAAATCCTTTCTCATCAATCACCACATACATCTGTCCTTCCCTCACAGCTTGATCTGCAATCTATCAAATACCATCAACTTCATGGACAAACTTGACAACAATGCAACCAAACAAGCATAATTGAACCTTTTGTCATGGATCAGATGAAGGCTACAAAGAGATAGTTTCCATTATCTCATAAGGGCGTTCAAGAATCCTATGGTTATATGGTGGTTAACAGCTGCACCACCTATGGTGGTGGTGGTGCCATCTTTGGCAACATGTCCCTTCTCATTTGAGAGTGAGACAAGACGAGCAATTGCATTTTGCAACAATATTCACATTCACCTCTTCTACATAACTAAAACCCTCGATAACAATCTTAGACTGACTCAAAGTTAATGAGTGCAACGTTATTGATTTATTAATATTTGTTTCACCATACTAACAACGAATAGAACATGCTTACAATATGCAGTGCATCAATGAATTCTATATATATGCCTATATAATGATGAGAAAAGGGAAAAAGACTGTTCTATACTCCTTAGCACAAGCACAAAGCAAGCAAGCTATGAACTAAAAAAGCAATCTTGATCGATCACATAGCGTTAATGGAGCAATAAACTTAGGAGCAAGAACAATCTTTTACTTTATTATGGGAAGATACATTAATGATTAAAAAAAAAAAAAGCAAAACACTTATTGCTCATACAACAAACGTTATGTACTCTTGTATCATGCATGTGGGGCCCTTTTGGGTTGAGCTTAGAAGGAGGCAAGGAGCTTATCCGATTTGGTCGTTTTTACAGCTTTACCTGATGGAAGTTTACATACACTAACAGTTGCAATGCATACTGGAAAATTCACTAATAAGACCAACTATTTCGAATGGACATAGAGGCTGATATATGAAAGGGATAAGAAGCACTAAGGCATGGACATATTGCTTTTTGTCTAAATATTTCTCTATGGGCTAATGCAATATCCGTTGTCTATGCTAGACAAGTGTTTAGATGGCATTTTATTGATAAAAGCATGGTGCATTTCACACCTTACCAGAAAAGGCCTATTGCAAAACTGTATAACAATGTTTGAAGGACTCGATATCAATTACAACCATGCCATTTCAAAATCAATAGCTATGTATAAGATAAAAGTCAATTTAATAACTAATGAGGAGCAAACATATAATCAAGATTGGGAGAATACTAACAGCACCACAGGTATGACTGTCAAAAACTTCCTATTGCAAGTAAGCTGCTAGCCATTGTCTATTTGCTCCCACCAAGTCAACCTATTGTAGATGCCCTGATCATCTGAAAATGTTGTTCCCTTCTACCAGTGAAAGCAGTGATAAGTAACCTAGACCACATGTAAGAAAATTCAGCACATTTGCATAAAAATTATAAGCTCTATCCTAGCAGATACAAAGACCTGGAGAAAGTAAACTGTCTGTAAAAGTTCGTTTAGGATGAAATCAATAAAGGAACTACTTAGGAATAAGCAAGGGTTCACATTATAATATGTTAAGGTCATGCTGATAAAGTAGTACGTATGCACTCATGGACACAATCGACTGAACCCCGTGGTTGAATCGTTGCAAAATTCCACTAACATCCATGAGACCATGACCACAGAGAGTTTCCTTGCTTAACTCATACATAAGCTATAGAGTGCTAAAACATATTCAACACTGTAAAAATGCTGTCTAAAGTTTAATCAAATCATATATTCCGCAAGAACCACAATGATTGCATAAATGGTTAATTTTTCCACTTAATTCTCAGCTAGTAAATTATTCTCCTCGTATCATATTGGCATTAAACATCAAAATCAATTTGCATATGATTGAAAATGAAAACATTAGGTAAATATTTTATCGAATAGATTCCACAAAGAACCACAATTATTGCCTAAATAGTTTTCTATTTAATTCTAAGCTGGTAAATCATTCTCCTTGGACCATACCCCCATTAAACATCAAAAACATTTTTTTTTCAGTTACCACTGATAAAAAGTGGTATGTAAATGTTCAATTCAATCATTGATTCCACAAGAACAAGGAGTATTATATAACTGGTTAATTTTTTTACTTAATTCTCAGCTGGTAAATCATTCTACTTGGGCGATACACATTAAACATAAAAATCGTTAAAGTCAGATCCATAAACCAATCTATCCTTGCTCAAAAACACAACTAACCTTCCAGCACACACAAAATTAATTAAACCAAACCCTAACAGGAAAAAAAATATAAAAAAATATTGCTGCTCCTTACCATCACAAATAAACATAATCACTAAATCGACCATAATTTAGAACGTTCGAGGAAATGAGAGATGAACAATGGTCCATGCCAAGCCAGGGGAACAACCAACAACTGAGAGCACAACCAGCCATGAGAAGAACAATATTAGGATGTAAGTGGTCCACACTGGGGTAAGTGAACCACTCCGCATTCCGTTTCAGATCTATACTTGTGATAGTTTGATGAAATCATGAAAACATGGCTATCAAAAACATTGACACCAATATCAACCATCCACTTGCAGAAAATAGCTTATCAAACCTCATGCTTCTTAAAGGGAGATTCAGTTCAAACAAGTAAGAGGATGCACTTCCTACCAGTAATCCCCACAAGAACACGTTCCTTCTATAAAATGATGAAAACGATTAGAATCCCTTAAAATAATATGGCGTTGAAAAATATTTGATATGAACTTCATGGAAGTATGGCAGTCACCACAGACCCGAAGGTTCTTATATATCCGAATCGGTGCTCCTTGTGGCACATAGAGAAGCCCAAAAGCAACTGCCAATTTCTCACTGTGATAGGCAAGACCATGTTCCTTGCCCTCTTCATTAATGTCATGAAGAGCGAAATTCATGTCAGGCACATAACCAGCTTCCTTGATCAACTTTAAAATATCATCAACCTTCAAGTAAATCTCGTCTGCCTTTGGATGATTTCTATCTTCAGACGCAAAGGTGTGCACTTTGCTGTTTACTTCCATCCAACTACGTCCAGGTTCCTTGCTGACTCCCCTTAATTTCATCAATTTTCTAACTGCAGCAGCTTCTTCCCAATTTCCCGTAGCAGAATATATATTTGATAACATGACATAAGGGACAGCATCTTGAGGTTCCAATTCAAAGAGAGCAATTGCCGCTCTCTTTGCCAGATTAACATTCCTATGTACTCTACATGCAGCAAGCAATGCTTTCCAAACAGTTGCATCAGGTTTGACATCCATTTCTTCCAGTAACCTTTGTGCCTCATGCATTTTCCCTGATCGACCCAAAAGATCAATCATACAGGCATAGTGATCAGGACCAGGCCTTATGCCATAATCTTTTACCATGGACTCAAAGTAATAGTGACCCAGTTCAACAAGACCTGCATGACTGCAAGAAAATAGTAAGCCTATAAAAGTAATGAAGTCGGGTTTTGTCCCACAAGCTATCATTTCATCGTAGAATCGGAGAGACTCCATTCCTTTACCATTTTGCGCGTAACCAACTATAAGAGCTGTCCAAGTGATCACGTTTCGAATTTGCATTGAGGCAAAAATTTTATTGACGTGTTCCAGGCACCCACAATTTGCATACATTTTTATAAGAGAATTATCAACTGATAAGGATGTTCCAAGTTCAGACTTGATGAAATTTGCATGAACTTGTTGTCCAAAATCTAACAAAGCCAACTCTGCGCAGGAACTCAAAACGCTGGCAGTCACAATTTGGTCAGGATGAATCCCATCGGTTCTCATTTCACAAAAAAACTTCAAAGCTTCTTCATGGCGGCCATTGTGAGCATAACCAGTGACGAGGGAGGTCCAGGAAATGACATCCTTTTCCTCCAGAAAATTGAACACCTTAGAAGCGCTATCTAAGTCATTCTGCTTAGCATACATATCGACTAAAGCATTGCTTACAATTTTGCAATTCTCAAATCCAGTTTTGAAGATCAAGGAGTGGACGGATTTCCCATTTATTACATCTTTCTTGGAAGCAAGAGCATTGAGGATGGAGGGGTATGTGAACTCATCAAATTCCATAAGTTTTGCATGCATTGTACGAAATAATGACAATGCATCCTCTAAGGAACCTTGTCTCACACACCCAACTATCATGGCATTCCATGAAATCATATCAACAACCTCCCTTGACTCTAATACTTTCCTGGCACTTTTCAAGTCCCCACACTTGGCATACATATTGACCAACGCACTTTGAACAAACACGTTATCACCAAAACCACCACGAACAACACAACTATGCACCTGCACCCCAAACATAAGATCAGAAACAGATCCACAAGCTGTCAACACTGCTGGGAATGTATACTGGTTGGCCTCTACCCCTTCAGCCCTCATACCTCTAAAGCACTGAATTGCTTTGTCAACGTCACTATTTAGTGAATAACCATTAATCATAGCAGTCCAAGTAACATGATTTTTCCCACTAGTCATCCTTTTAAAAAGAAATTCAGCTTCAAGAACATGAAAACATTTCACGTACATGTCAATTAGCCCAGTAACAATAAAGACATCCCTGTCAAATTGTGTCTTAATAGCATAACCATGAGTTTGTTCACCTCTTGAAAGTAGACCCTTAATAGAGCACATTCTAAGCACATTTCCCAACACAAACTTACTGGGCTTGTGCCCCTCGCATAGCATTTGCCAAAACAGCTCAAAACTCTCAATTTCACACCCCATTTTACAGTATCCAGAAATAAATGATGCCCAAGTAATTGCACTCATTTTTGGAGTCTGGTCGAAGAGTGTCCTAGCTTCAACAAACCGTCCTACATTTGCATACCCAGCAATCATTGTATTCCACGAAAACTCATCTCTCTTAGGCATTGCATCAAACACTTTCCCAGCTTCATCAATTCGACCCGAGTTTGCCAGCTCCCTTAAATATTTATTTGCATCAAATAGAAAATCTTGTGTGCTAATGCTGTGGATTTCCTGACTCAAGTTTTTACATCTATATTTCCAACAACGAGTAAAACTTAGGCAATACAACATTATCAGTACACAACTCCAATGCCCACCTTTGGTTCTGAAAGACAAAAAACAATCGTGAAAGAGTTTCAGAGAATTGTGAGTGACGGGGTCCTAAAAAATTGCTTCTACACGGTCCGGCGGGAAATATACTAGTTTCAGGGGGCACGCGTTGCTTTGTTATTGTTTCCAGTGCTTAGAACTTGTGATTACATGGGCGGAGCTATGTGGGATTTGTTGGGGGAGATTACAGTGGGTACTCATAAGAATCGGAAGAGAGAAAGGTACGACGGACGTGGAGAAAGATAGGGGGATAAAGTATGGTTATGAAGGAGGTTTTACTCATGCGACCAGTGATTCCCTTTCATCCTCTTTCTCTCATATTTCTAGTCATCAAATGGTTTTTTCTGGTTTCGTCTAAACAAAACTTCAGAAGTGTTTTCTTAGACGTCTGATGAAAAATTACCATCTTTCAAATTTTGGTTCATTTCAAATTTTTGGTTCAATTATGCCGGTTGGAACCGCACATTCTTCACGTCCTCTAATCTTGTGTTTGACATCTCAAGAAGAATTTGATTTGAATTAATGATTGATGAGGAGAAATGCTATTCATCTTCATTGGGGATGCATCCACAGTTTATATGACGTTAATGTGGTATTAAATGATAGATTTAACCAATCATTTACATCCACATAGATTGGGGATGCATCCCCACTGAGGATGAATAGCATTTTTCATGAAAAAATGTGTGGTTAAAAAGTCAGGAGAATTTTTTGGTTTATGTGTAATATGATTTTATCGATAGATTGTGTGGTTGAAATAAAAAAAATGAATGTCAATCGAGGGCGAAATAATATAACGCGTCCCCTGTTTGACACCCATTTTTTTCTCATTCTATTTCTCTTTTTTCATTTCAACCACACATTTTATTAATAAAATTATATTACACATAAACCCAAAATTTTTCTTACTTTTAAACCACACAATCTTCCATCAATCACTATTCCAAAAATTATTTTTCAAATAAAATGGGTGTCAAACGGACACGTAATTTCAAATTTTTTTTTCTATTTTAACCCCTTATTTTTTAAAAAATATATTATAAATATTAAAAAAAAATTCAAATAATTAGAACCAAACTGGAGCTAATTAACATTTTCTTTATTTAAAAAATCAAAAATTACCTATTTTTATAGTAGACCATTTTCAAGTATGGGACCAACTCAATTATAAATTCGATTAAGATGGACTTACTTGAAGTCTATCGATTACACATTTCGTACTTTTCGAAGAACTCTCACCTCTCTCATGTCTTTAACCATTGTTATTTTAATCATTATTATTTTTTTATGTGATAATTGCAGCAAAAACTTCAAACCTTTAAAATATTAACAGACTTTCCTCAAACATTTGATTTGTTGCAGCAATCACTCTTAACATTTCCAAACGTTACACGTGAGACCCTTTTGAAAGGTTTCCATCCATTTCTTCGTCATTTGACCACTAAAATAAAAAAATTGACTACTTTCTGCCAAAATAGAGGAGGGCAAAATGATAACTTGCTATTTTCCCATAAAATAAATTAAAAGCCCAAAACAAAAAATAAAAAAAGAAAAGAAAAGAAAAAGGAAAACGTATCTTCTTCTCTCTCCCCATACCTAGGGGTAGGCAAAATTCGTTCGAACCCACCAAAATCGCCAAAACCGAACCAACCCGATCGGTTTGGGTTTATTTTTTATTGTTTTTACACGGATTGGGTAGGTTGGTTGTGTAGGCGAGTTGGGTTGAGTTATGGATTAACTCATAAAAATTGAATAAACCCGTCCAACCCAATCTGACTATATTTATGAATTTTATAAGTATTACGATGTTGCTTGAAAACTCTTAGAATAATATCATAAGAATTAGATAGAATGCATTTTACGAAAAATAGTATAAGCAAATACACATTCAAAACAAAAATATTATAATTGCCAAAAATATTTCTTGACTTCATATAATTTATTATCAATCTGTCCATGTAATATTTTCGAGCATGAAGTACCAAAATAATTCAGAATTTTTTGTTTATTGCAACTATGGAGACCAAATATTATATAAGTTATGAGTCAATTATAAATTCGTGCAACCCGACTCGCCTACTTTAGTATTTGTTGACAAGTTGTCCCAACTTGATCAACCCAACCCTACCCGATCAATACTTGATTGGATTGGGTTGGATTTCAACATTTACATAAGTTGAGTTGGGTTGGGTTGTGTATGGATTGAAACAAAAATCGACCCAACACATGCCCACCCCTACCCATACCCCTACCCCTACCCCACGCACAATCCCAACCCCTCAACCCAAAACCAGAAATCTACCACTGCTACACCCACCGCCAACGACCACCACAGTGAACACCTTGAGCCCAATCCCTCAAGTGATCACTACCAACAAGTTTAATGTTAAAATTTGTGAAGATTTTGTCGGGTCATAAAAGATGAGCTGCTGGAGCATGTCCCCGCGCAAGCTGGATTCCTGAACAAAATGATCATCAGTTGATATTTCATGTCCTTTATACTATTTAGACGCTTGGAATAAATTTCATGAAAATATGTTGTCGGCTCATTGGATTTGCTCGTGTTTCCCAAAGCACTGTATTGCATCCTGTGAATGGGTTGAATTTCAACTCTTTAAAGAAATTGTTCGAAATTGACTATAGGATAATTAGGTTGTGAGTGGCTGCATTTATTTGCGAGGTCCTATTATAGAGATTTGACGAAAATTTATGAATTTTTAGCCCCTCTACCATTTCCCTCCCTTTCCTTTCTAAAAACCTGTTTGTGGTGTTCTCGTGTTCACATTTGTTGAAAATGTATATAGAATCAACAAGGAATTGGTGTTCACGATGGTAATGGTGGTTGTTGGCGGTGACAAATTTCTGGTTTTTGGTTGAGGGGTTGGGCTTGTGCGTGGGGTTGGGGTTGGGGGTAAGGGAAAAGAAGATACATTATCATTTTTCTTTTATTATTATTATTATTTTTTTTGGCCTCAGTTTTTTAATTATTTTATGGGAAAAAATAGTAAGTTACCATTTTGCCCTCCCTTATTTTGGTAGAAAGCAATCAATTTTTTATTTTTGTTGTCAAATATGGAAATCGTTCAAAAGGGCCCCACGTGCAACGTTTAAAAAAGTTATGGGTGACGGCTACAATTAATCAAAGATTTGGGGAAAGTTTGCTAATATTTTAAAAGTTTTATGTTTTTTCTGCAATTATCCCTTTTTTTATTGATAACATTTTTCAAATGATTAATGCGATCAAATATCATTGATATTGATGATCAATCTAGATTGCCACATTTGACAGATCAAATTAAATGGATCATATCACTTTGCATTTAAATGGAGAATAATGCAATCTGTGTTGAACGTCTATCTACGGTATTATGCGATGTGTTGAATTGAATGTGAAATTATGTAATTTATTCAATTGAACACGTAATTAAATGTTACTATTGTTGTTACCTAGATTGATATTAAACACCAACGGTGCTAAATAATAGCATTACTCTTTTCAAATACTTGTACAACTCAAATACCGAGATTTAGTTAGCTTAATCTTGTACTTTTATACATTGTCTTATGTAACACTAATATACTCTTATTTGACCCACATTATCTAAAAACTATTTTCTCCAAACTCATTTCCAACCATACATTCTTTAAATAAAATAATTTTGCACATAAATTTAATTTTTTTTTTAATTTTTAACCACGCATTCTTAAAAAAAAAAAAATCTATTACAAAACTCAATTTTTAAGAAAATGAGATTCAAACACACCTTGTATCCTCGAATACACACTAAACTTATACGTCTATGCTAAAAAATTTAAGTTTTTCATTCTATTTATTTTATAAATAATGCTATATAATATTAGTGGTGCTGCAAGACCGATTTAGATCGTCACACTTTATGGGCTCAATTAATTAGATGTTATGACTTTAGTGCTAATCAAACTGATATAACATTCTATAATCCAATTACAAACTGGTTCAATTAATTAGATGTTTTGACTTTTGTGCTAATCAAACTTACATTACAATTTTATGGCCTGTTTGAGCCAAATTATTGTAGAATGAGAATGAAAAATATAGTCGTTATTGAGGCTACACAAGAGATAGAAAATTTGACTTTAAATGTTGATGTGATGAATAATGATTGTATTTTTATTTTAATGATATAATAATGTAAATCCAATAATCCAATTACAAACTACACATTAAATAACTGTATACGACACAGATCTCTTGCCTAAAAATTGCTACCAAGCAACGCATCAAATTATCAATTGAAGGAATTCTCCAGCTGAAACAATGTTTCCAAACGATTCCTCCTCGACCCCCAATTCCACCGTCGATACGACGCCGTTAATGTGGGAGCAGGTGTTTCGCACCCGCCACCGCTTTCTGCGCCGTCCGCCGAGCCTCAGCGGCGCTGCGCGCTTCCTCCGGCAAGCCAGTAACCGGTCCCGCGCGATGCGAGAGCCGTCTGTCCGCGTTCGCGAGGCTGCTGCTGAGCAACTCGATGAGCGACAGAGCGACTGGGTGTACTCGAAGCCTATAGTAGTACTGGACCTTATATGGAACCTAGCGCTTGTGATTGTTTCGATTTCTGTTCTGATCATTAGCAGGAAAGATTCTCCGTCTATGCCTCTGAGGCTGTGGATTGTTGGCTATGCTCTTCAGTGTGTGCTCCACACGGCGTGCGTGTGCGTGGAGTATAAGAAGAGGTATGCGCATCGGAATCTGGAAGGGAGCTCGAGGGATGGGGTTAGGTATAGTCGGAATTACACTAGTTCGAGCTCGGGAAGTGATGATGGAGAGGCTGGGGATTATGATTCCGAGCGCTGGCCAGATGACGAGGAAACTGGGTAAAGGTTAAACAAAAATATGTTTAGTTTATAGGATTAGTGAATGTTTTTAAACTAGAATTTTCTGTGGATTTTGATATTATGCTAATATTTTCTCTGCAGCTAAGTACATGGATACTAATGTATCTAAATTAGGGTACATTGTATATTCATATAATTTCTACTGTTGTGGATTCGAAATGGGAGTATATGCACGGATAGATCCATGTGCATATCCACCCACCCACACACATACATACATACATACATACATGGTCTCACATGTGAACGTATTTGAATTGGGCTATGGACGTATCCAGTTGATATTGGTGACTGTAAAAGGTACGAGCTACTACTGAAAGCCGCAATCTCTTGTATAGAAGATACAGTGGCTAAATTCAGTATCGAGATTAAGTGATTGTTCTTGTTGCAAGATTAGATCGTGCAATGACCCGGAAAAAAGTTTTATTAAGTGGAGCTAGATGGAGTTATGGAGGGCAGGGCTATGATACTGACAAATGTATTTAGAAATGTGTCTGCAATGCTAGTTTAATTGCGTTTAATGATAATGACCTTATCTTATTGATTTGTCTAAAGAAAACCACTTTGGAAGTCAAGTTTTACTCATAATTTCCTTTTACATTGTGCTGTTGATAGAAAGATTATATGTGTCATGCCTGTTGAGGAACATATAATTCTGTAGCCTGTTGTTTTCCACCCACTAGAGTGATACTTGGTTTCTGTATAGCTGCATCAACAACAGGACCTCAGATGGCCTTTAAAGTATTCAGTAATTTTAAGATTTGAGATAGAGAAATTGATATGTGTAACGAACTAATGCTGTGGATTTTTGGCAGCATTGTGAAACATCTGGAGTCTGCAAATACAATGTTCTCATTCATTTGGTGGTTAGTTGGGTTCTATTGGATATCAGCTGGTGGCCAAAGTTTGACTCATGATTCACCTCAACTTTATTGGTTCTCCAAATATACCCCCCTAATTTTGCTTCAGTCTCAATTCTTTTTTTATATTTATATTTATTGATGAATATTTTTGTTTTGCAGGCTTTGCATCATATTTCTAGCATTCGACGTGTTCTTTGTTGTTCTGTGTGTCGCAGTGGCATGTGTCATTGGAATTGCTGTTTGCTGCTGTCTACCATGTATTATTGCAATCTTATATGCAGTAGCAAACCAGGTAGTTTGAGTTGTAGAATTTTTTTTGCTGCATGTATGATTAGCTAGCAAAACCAGGATACCAGTGTCCATTTATACATTTCTCTATGCGTGTCCATTTTGGTTATTTTTTACGGCGACTCCAAACCTGACGAGGATTGGATTCTTGATATGGCTTGTAGCTTGTACTTTTCATGTGTCCTAATCGGGATTGATTTTCAATATATTAAAAAGTTTCAAGGGGTTTCGTGGTAATGAAAAATAATAAGATAGCAAGTATTGGTAAAGTCAGAATTAAGATGTTTAATGGGTCGGTCAGGACACTTGGTGAAGTGAGACATTTTTCAGATTTGAATAGAAATATTATCTCATTGAGTACTCTTGATTCAAAAGGGTATAAGTATACCGGTGAAGGTAAAGTTCTGAAAGTTAGCAAAGGTGCCGGAATTGTGATGAAAAGGGGTAGAGGAGGTCCCAGTCTTAGGTCTTACAAGGTTCGATTATCACGTTTGATGCAGCCATCACTAAATTAAGGAAAAAAGATATTAGACCTCAGGATGGGTTTGGTGAGGTTGATTTGGTTGCTTATGAGTTGATAAGTGTGAACTCAGATGGAGTTAGTTGTGATTGTGTTGTTCGTAGGGATAATTCGAGCAAATTTGGTAACTCAAATGGAGTTGGTTGCGAACTTGATGTTTTGTTGTTCGGTGTGATTCGAGCAAGTATGGTACCCAAGGTAATTCTACTGGTAAGTAGTGTTTGGATTCAGTTCATAGTTGTTGAGTTTGCCCTTATGGGCTTTGTGGAAAAGGTGGAGTAATTTGTTTGAAGTGTTCGGTTTGGAGAATTTTTGGAGTTTGCTGAAGAGTTATATTTTATTTTTCGCAGTGGAATTCATGTCAAGGTGGAGATTTGTTAGAATTGGGTTGTGACCCAAATTCTTGTCGAGTATTTGATTGGAAATGCGATTGGAGGAGTATTGAGAGTTGGTAGTAGACTTGAAGTGATGTTGAAGGAGTCCACGATGAATTAGGAGAGGTTTTACGTGAGACGGCCGCTCCCTGCACGCTCGGGGATGCTCGACCCCTTTACAAGGACCCTAGAGCTCGCTAGGCTCGAGCTACCGCTCGAGCGGCAGTATTACCCCTCTAACTTCGCGAGATTGTCACTTTAGCGTCGGTGATATCCGAGCAAGATTCTAATTCTTTTTTTTTTTTTGGCAGCTTTTGACCCATATGTCATCCAAAATATTCTATTAATAGTTTTATCCATTGTATCGGAACTTCACCTTATATTAAATTTTTCATTGTATTAATTCTCCTAGTGTGTTAAAGATTGTTGTATTATAAATATATGGTGTATTACACATATTTGATGGATTCAAATTAATAGAGAGACTAACAGATAATCAGGGAAGAGTCTTGAGTGATCCGTCATAATATATTGCAACTCCTTACTTTTGATACAGTGAATTATCTACCTCTACAGTGATTTTTCCCATTTTGGATTTCCACGTAAATTTTGTGTTTTTGTGATTGTTATTTTCATCTTGCTCATTATCTCGTCTTTAATATTCATAACAAGTGACTGAATTTCCAACATTTATGGTAACAGGAAGGAGCAACTAAGGAAGACATTGAGAGACTCCCTAGATACAAATTTCGAAGAATTGGTGATTTTGAGAAACAAAATGGTGAAATTCAAGAATTATTTGGAGGAATAATGACTGAATGCGATACTGACTCTCCCACAGAGCATGTTATTCCTCTGGAAGATGCTGTATGTTTGATTTAGCCCTTTTTAACATCTTGTGGATTGAAATTCCGTAAATTCTTCAAAGTTTTCTTTCTACAATCTATTTCATACAACTGCATACTGGTTTGCAAAATGCCATAACTGGTTCGTGACTCATTGCCCTAGTAGGAAGTTGGTCCCCAACCTTTCACTATAGTTGCAGAATCAGTACTTAATGATGGAAACCATCCAAATATCTTTTATGAAGGTAGGTCTTGCTTCTGAAGTTGGACTTGTGCCCAGAAATTTGAGGTGATGCATGTTTCCATTAGGGATTTGTTACAACTTTGTGAAAAGTTGAACAGTTTGGTTGTGCTTGTATAATGAAAGGTTCGGAGACCAATTTGCTAAGAAAACAAAGGTGACCAATGCTTCATTTTTCCCAATTGGTTTGGAGAATGACATTGATGTAGCTTGATTGTCTCATTACTGACCTTTTGATACCTTTCCGCGTTTGATTGCAGGAATGCTGCATTTGCCTTTGTGCCTATGATGACGGAACTGAACTGCGTGAACTACCGTGTCATCATCATTTTCATTGTACATGTATAGACAAGTGGATGTGCATCAATGCGACATGTCCTCTTTGCAAGCTCAACATACTGAAAAACAGCAGTCAGAGTGTTGCTGAAGAAGTATAATCAAGTATGCAGTTGTGAAGATCATTCAGTTCAGGACTCCCTCTCTATTTTGGAGTGATGGAACTTCTGCTAGATCTGGAAATTTCGTGATCTAAATTCCAGTAGGTTCGCCTGCTTACGATACTACAGCCGATGTATTTGTGAATCAAGAGCCATGGGTAAGTTCTTGTTTGTATTTCCCGTATAGAGATGGGTTGAAACATTTTCATCCAACATACTGATTTCTTGAAAATGTAACTGTAGTAAGGTGTGTGTATGTTCTACTTTGTGCTGTCAATGCAAACCCACTAAATTGAATGACCTAATCTTGGATGCTTGTAGTCATTAGTATCAATATTCTAATTTTCTTCGCTTTTTTTTTTACTCTCTAGCTTTGAAATAGTTGAGAACGCAGAAGAAAATAATGTCAGGATTATTATTGGTTGAAGTTTACAGAAAAAAGAGAACGCGATTTCGAACCCGGAGCATAAAGTGAATCCAAATATGAGTTAAATCTCATAACTGAGTTGTTCGTTTATTCTCAACGCACTTTGCAATCTTCTTCCTTTAAGCCAAAATGCTCTTTTTTCTTGTTACTTTCTTAATTAATTTTCAACACTATACTTTGTAGCACACTGTTATGAACATTTTCATTGCCGGTTTTAACACCCCTTGTCATTGTCGCTTCCGCTTGCAACACTAAATGACATGCTGCTCGTAAAACCCCAAAAATTTTCTAGCAAAGTTTTGGTATTTTAGAAAATTTCTAAATATTTTAGGGACTTAATTGAACTAATTGTATAAATTTCATAGAAACTAAGTGTTACCATGGGATTAAAAATGCATTCTTAATTAGAAAGGGGTAATTGCATCTTTACCCTAAGGGTCAAAAGTGAAATTTTAAAAATTGCATGGTTGACCCCTGCCATCCCCTATAAATAGGGGACGAACGTGTAATTCCAACACACTTTCTCCATCATTCACACTCTTCAGGTTAGTTTCTTTCTTTCTTCGTTTATTTAAATATTTAAAGTTTCTTAGGTTCTAATTCTTTAATAATTTTGAGGAAGATAAAATTAGAATTAAACTTAAAAACTAATTAGACCAACGATGATGAATTGTAACTGCTCTATTCCCAAACCTTAACTCTATATGTTTCAAAATTTGTAAGTTATTCCAAAAAAAATAGTCTATTTTATCTAATATGTATATCAATTATAAGTAAGATTATTCAAACGATGTTTTGGAAAAAAAAAAACTCAATTAAGATGAAAAGATTCATGAATAAGTAAAATAAATCCCATCTTTGATGCTTGAAAAGATTTTGTAGAAGAAGATTTAGGGCCTGTCTGGTGGCGCTTTTCTTCTAATTATAAGAAATTTTCAGTCCGTTATACAGTGAATGGAGGGTAGAAGCTGCAGATGTTGACCTTGAAATTCCAGCCGCAATTGTTGAAAAAAACCTGCAGCCATCATTTTTATAGCGAAATGACTTATATACCCCTAGAACATTATATTCAATCTATCTCTAGAAGGGCTATTTGGTAATTTAATTATAAAAAAGATGGCTGCAGGCTTTTATTTATTTATTTTTTTTCAATAATTGCTGCTGTCATTTCATAATCAACATCTGTAGCTTCTCCCCTCCATTCACTGTATAACGGTCTGAAAATTCCTTATAATTAGAAGAAAAGCGCCACCAGACAGGCACATAGACAAAACATCTGAGGCACCCCTCACCCTTTTGATAATATCAAAGACACCCCTCAGGTTTCAAAAATGTCGCTAACCTCCTTTATTCTTAATTTTGAATGTCATATACACCCCCGGCGAATTTTAAGACTAATTAGTATTTAAGTATAAATTTTAATACCTAAATTGGCCTTGAGAACAATATATTAAACTTCATACCATCTATGCATTAATTTGGTGCTTTCATAAAAACATCTTAGCCTATTATTAAAGTTAGTTACACTAGTTAGTAAACTTTGCAATCCATTTCATTAAACTTAACAATGCATATATTTCTTGATTCTTTCACTTTACCAATGAAATTATTTGTTGATTTAAGTTAATTATCCCATTGCATTGGTAATGAAGGGACACATTTTTGGATACCACTGCAATTGAATTAGTCAATTAAATCAACAAATAATTTTATTGGTAAATAGGGATGGTAATGTAGTAGGGGAAGACGGCCATCCCCATCCCAATCTTGTTGGGTATATTTGAGAGGAGAGGCGAGGCGATGCTAGGCTTGCTAGGCTTGACGTGGATTAAAAGATTTTTATTTAGAGTCCCGTTTAATTAATTGTTTATTT